GCTGTCCCGCTGTCCCGGAAGCTGCCTCCTGTCTTCAGCAGTGAGGCTGCCCTGCCAGCCACCCTGCCAGGCTTCATGTACCTGCCCAGGATGTGGGGGTGGCCAGGTAGCACATGACTTCCTCGTCACATACACAGGTTGCCAGCAGCGGCTACAGATGAGCAGCGGCCCCTTATGTTCCCAGCTGCTTATCTATCTTTGAGTACAGTCCTTGAGTAAGGTCCAGCCAGCCCTACTTTTCCATTTTAGCCAACCTCTGCCTCAGGACATACCCAACTTGAACTAAAATGCAGAACAGCATTTTTAGTCATTTACCATACGCAGTTTCCACTATGTACTGATTTTTTAAATTTAAAATTACACAAATACTGTCAGAATACATTCTCATAAAAGAGTAGAACAGTAGAGAAAACACAACAAAATCATCCTTGACAGTTTGGAATTTCTGTTGCACTTTTCCCGGGGCAGCTCCAGAGGATGGTGGAGCTGACAGTGTAGTCCAGAGGCCTGCCTAGGGCCGGGAGTGGCCTCCTGGCATGTAATTAAAAGCAGAGCAGATCTAGTTGGCGTCTCTCTCTGCAGACTGGCGACCTGCCCCCCCCCCCCCCCCNACGTGTAAGGGACGCTGGTGATGCTCAGCCCCAACTGATCCCTGCCTTCTGGCATTATGAGCCACTGCTACCAGAGCTTCCATTTTGCAAGAGAATTTGGAAATAAAATCTGTACTTTTATGTGATCTCTCCCATTTTAAATGTAAGCAAAATAATTCACATAGAACATTGGGGCCAAATAAAATGCAAGTTATCAATGGGCCTCTGTTAATGGTACTTCGATGATAAGAAATGGTCACATAACCTCACTATTTCTCCCAAATACTATTAATTCCTGTTCCAGGTTTTCCCTCCTGTATGGATTCACAGGGTATGTAGTTGTCCCCTGCAGAACAGAAGGGAGACTTAGGCTGAATGATTAAATAATCCCTTTTGAAGATAACTACCATGGAGTGGTAGGGGTGGACCTTGATTCACCCTGAGCACTGAGGAACTGAGTTTGTCCTGGTGGTACGATGAAATCTGACCACACAATCAGTGTGATTAGGTGTACTGGAAAATGATTTACAAACCTGGTTTTAGTGGTGTTTACTAATCCTCTGGGGTCAGTCTTAATTTCTAGGAAGAAATGTCATTAGGAGCTTCTTGGGACTTGTCTGAGGTCCCTTACTGAAGCATGGAGTAGTTGAAATGGCCAAGGGTCTATGGAATTGTTGACTAAGTGGTTTATCTATTTGGGGGATGGGGACACAGGGAAGGTCTTTTCATTACTTGGGAAATATGGTCCCTAAAGTTTTGCCTTGGAGCCAAGTTCAGTTCCTTCCTTGGTCAGTCCTACTCAACTCCCGAGCCCAGGTTGCTCCAGAGTTTGGTACTGAAAGAGGCTCTGTCTGCACAGAGCTCAGCCATCCCTGTTCTGAAAAGCATGGCTCGGTGCTGCCAAACACTCACAGAGTCATGCATTAGCTGGCTGGAGAAAAATGTTGCTGCTAAGCCAGGCACGGTGCTGCCACCTGCATTTTGCTCAGCAGGTTAGAACCTTCTGGGCCATCATCTCTCTCATCCTGCAGAGTCTGGACTCTGGCTGGCCCTTTGTTTGGGTCACAGAAAAATGCCGACCTATAGACACAGCCATTTCACATCGGATGCCTGGTTTGACTGTTGTAGAATTGAAGGGATTGTCTGAATCTGTAATCCAGACTCGCTGTCCCGCTGTCCCGGAAGCTGCCTCCTGTCTTCAGCAGTGAGGCTGCCCTGCCAGCCACCCTGCCAGGCTTCATGTACCTGCCCAGGATGTGGGGGTGGCCAGGTAGCACATGACTTCCTCGTCACATACACAGGTTGCCAGCAGCGGCTACAGATGAGCAGCGGCCCCTTATGTTCCCAGCTGCTTATCTATCTTTGAGTACAGTCCTTGAGTAAGGTCCAGCCAGCCCTACTTTTCCATTTTAGCCAACCTCTGCCTCAGGACATACCCAACTTGAACTAAAATGCCCCCCCCCGATCCGATCCGGTGTGATGGGGAGCGTGGGGGGTTGCTGGGGTTTTGTTCAAGGCTCTGCTGGGAGATTAAAGACTGCAGACTGTCACCTTCCTCTTTCCTTCTTTCCCTCACTCCTCTCCTGCTTCCCTCTCTTTCCAATTCTTAGGTATTTTGTGCTGAAGATTTCTGCAGGGATTGAATATCCTGGTGAGATCAGATGGCCACTAGCCTTCTGCCTCTTCCTGGCTTGGGTAATTGTGTATGCATCCCTGGCTAAAGGAATCAAGACTTCGGGGAAAGTAAGAACTTGGATTTATCTAAGTAAGAGAAAGCTCTGGGACCCCGGGAGAGGTTGTGTTATGGAGCGGGCAAAAGAGCACCGAGAAGGGAGTCGGGAGATATAGGCCCTGATTCTGGTTCTGCCCTGGAATCGCTGTGGGGCTGTGGGCCAGTGATGTCCCTCTTATCTGTACAATGGGATGACAGCACTGTTCTCGCAGGGCTGTTCTGAGGATTAAAGGAGACAAATGCGTACAGAGCTCCTGAGGTATGGTGGGGTGCTGTGATTAGTTTCCTTCCTTTCCTTGCAGGGGCTGCCACTCATTCAGCAGGCAGAGCCTCCCTGGTAGGAATCAGTCCCTCTCCCTAAACTCTAAGAGTTCAGGCTGAGGGTTTTTTGCCTCTCCTATGGTGGGGTGCTGTGATTAGTTTCCTTCCTTTCCTTGCAGGGGCTGCCACTCATTCAGCAAGCAGAGCCTCCCTGGTAGGAATCAGTCCCTCTCCCTAAACTCTAAGAGTTCAGGCTGAGGGTTTTTTGCCTCTCCGTCTGGCTGCTAGGTCAGTTATTGCTTCTTCCAGGAAGCTGGATATAAATCAAAACTATGAAGTGGATTCCTTCTTTGCACTCCTGACCTCCATGTTCTCGGCCTTTCATGCCCTTCCTCCAACCCCCAGCCTAACACACTTCCACCCATGCACCCCTAGCATTGAAGGACAGTCCTGACAGTAAGGTTTTTGGCTCAGCAATCACTTGGCTGAGCCCTTTGGAGGCAACGGAATTTCCACCCCAAGCTCAGTTTCAAGCCACAGAGGGCAAGGAGCCAGGAATCCTCAGGTCATGCTGGGCATTGTTGTAAGGGTCACGTGAACATTTCCCCATCTTCCTGCAGCCTTAGAACTCCTCTGAAGGGTTAACCAATCACTCTTATGACAACCAATAATATTTAATCACCCTGACAGGCATTCATATGTTGAAATTTCAACAACAAAAAAACCCAAAAAGGTATTTCAATATGAAAATGAAAACATCGTTAAGGCCCAGAGAATGAGGCTGTCATGACAGACTCTGAGAGCATAGGTTGTGGAGTTGAGATTTGGTCTACTTGTCCAGGGGAGGGCTTACGATGGTCACATTATAACCAACCAGCTTTGGAAGGGCACATGGACACGCTCATGGGCGCCTTTTGCCTACTGCTCTTTCTGGTGCTTTCCATGTAATCTAGTGCCACAGGGACTTGAATGGTAGGCCCTGGCAGGTTTGTCAGGGTTACCTGAGGCAGATGGTACACTTTAAATCACATAATGTGGGGAGAATCAAGCCAGCCAGAGAGAACCAGACTGGGAGCGAGGACACCTGGGTTCCTGTCCTCAGGGACTTCCCGTGGTGTTTGCTGTATAGGAACGTCTCCACTCAGGCTGTGAAACTTGGCTGAGCCTCTGATTTCCTCTTAGCTTTTATATTTTTGCCAATAAATGAAAAGCAAATTTTCTTGTCTTTGTTATTTCAGGAGTCCTCAGTTTCCTTAGCTCTAAAGTGAAGACAATTTGGCTTTCTAATTTTGGCACTATTCTGTCTGAATATTTGGTGGGTGAGCTGGGGGGGGGGGCACTTTTACTTTCTGATCTCAGTTTCTCCTTCTGGAAAATGAGAGGTGGGATTAAGTGAGCCTTGAGGACCCTGCTGACTCTGAGTACTATGAGACTGATCGATTGTTTTTCTAAGGCTGCAGAAAGACAGGGAAATGTTCACGTGACCCTTAGAACAAGGCCCAGTGTAGCATGAGGCTTCCTGGGCTTCTTGCCGTCTGTGGCTTGGAACTGAGTTTAGGTGGGAGTTCCATTGTCTCCAAAGGGCCCAGATAAATGATCGCTCAGCAAGACATGCCAAGTGTTTGCTCAGTCAGAACCCCACTGGTAGGACTGTCACGTATGGCTAGAGATGGAGACAGGGTGACTTCAACCATGATCTACGTGGCCAGACAGATATCGAGCAGGATAGACTAGAAGGGGTGACTGGCAGGAGAGGTGATAGGTGAGAAGGGTGAGGACAGGAGCCTTCTTGGTGACATGAGGAGGGATGGCCTGCTGGCTCCAGAGTCAGGCCAATCTGAGTTCAAATTCTGGCTTTATCACTTCCTAGTTGTGTAACTCTGGACAAGTTTTGGAACTTGTTTCCTAGTCTGTAGACTGGGGATAAATAGTACGTACCGCATAAGATTGCTCTCAGGATAAAGTGAGATAATGCATGGAAAATACCTGGTATAGGGTCAGTTCTTAACCAACATTAGCTGTTATCATTTTTATTATTGTGAGTGACTGATGTATTGAGCGGGTACTGTGCCACTTTGACATCTCGAAGGCGGAGGTTTTGTTGGGGAAGTGGGAAGAAAAAGGGAGCTTTGCTGAACAGTCCATGTGCCAGGCACTGTGCTAAATGCTGCGCAGGCCTCGGTTCATTCAATCTTTACAATAATCTTCCAGGTAAGTACATTTACTCCCATTTTATAGATAGAGAAGCTGAGGCTCATCAAGGTAGAGTAAATTGTCCGAAGTCACACAGCTTTTAAGTGGCAGTGGTGGGATTTGAACCTATGTTTGTCTTGTTTTACAGCCTAGACTCTTTCTGCTACATGACATTTTCTCCCAAAGAGGGGCTGTTAGGAATAGACAGGAAATGCAGAATTGTGGAATAATCACTTGCATATAGTGGGGATAAAAGTCTCCCCACTGTGAATCAGGAGCCCTGTACTGCTGCTCAGTCTCTGCTGTCCTTAGTTGTGTGACTTTGGGCAAGTCACAGAATACATCAGGGCCTTATTTCCCTCATTTGCAAAATCAAGGGTTAGAATAAATATTCTCTAAGATTCCATTTAGCTCTATAAGTCTGTGCTTTTTTGGGATGGTGTTACAGCCAGTTCTTTTTGCTGATTTAGAATTTAGTCCTTGGTGCTAGATTTTATAGGCTTTCTGGAATAGGAGGTTTTGAGCAGCCCTGAGGTTTTTTTTTTTTAATTCTAGTAACTTCTCTCTTTGCTTCAGTGAGAAAGGTTTACAATGAGAGATCAATTAACTTTTTTTTAGTGCTAGATTTTATAGGCTTTCTGGAATAGGAGGTTTTGAGCAGCCCTGAGGTTTTTTTTTTAAATTCTAGTAACTTCTCTCTTTGCTTCAGTGAGAAAGGTTTACAATGAGAGATCAATTAACTTTTTTTTAAAAAATGAGGAATATCATCAGAAATAATGAATCACAATTTATTATCCTGCCCTGGGCCATGTGGACATTAATCATGGAGTATTATTTAGGAGCCCAAGACTGCTGCTGCTCATTATGAGGAACTCCTCTGTGATTGAAATAACAAGAACACTGTCATTTCTATGACAAAGAGATGTCCTCTTTCTCCTGCAGCAATTTAAGTTTGGTTCCTCTTGTACAGGGCTTGAGGAGACAAGAATGGCCAGTTGATTCCTCTGAGACTGAGGCCTCTGAGCAGCTAGAATTCCAGAGATGGGGATGACCAGCAGGCAGTGTGAAGGTCAAATGCAGCCCAGCTGACCTCAGGGGCTGTTCTGCCTGGGAGTTGTGGCAACAAAGCAAAGCTAACCTACTTAACTAGCACAGGCTGGTGAGGCCTTACCACCTGTTCAGGGCTCCTATTGTGGGGAGGCCTCAAGGTGTCAGACCAACAGGTTCAGATCAGTTAGTCATTGTCACTCCTGCCAAGCGTAATTCATTACTGTTTGAATTTAATTCCTCTGATGGCACGTGCTGAAACAGGTGCATTCTGCATTCCCCCCTGACACAAGGGAACTGGCTGTGCATAAAGCCTTCATGTACACCTGACTCACATTTGAGGCATCCGCAGGATTTATTAACCAAACTGTGGGCCCTATCTGCAAAGTGAGTGTGTCATCAGAACACCTGTGCACCAGGCCAGGACCTGGGTGAGACCAGCAGGTGAGGCTGCCTAGGGTGTGAAATTTAAGGAAGCATTCAACTCAGCTTCCAGCAAGTACAGGGGCAGCACCCGAAAGTGGGAGTCTCCTTAAATTTTGCACCCTAGGAACCTTGCTTGCCTCATCGTAGTCCTGGCCCACCCATACATTTCTGATCATGCAGCCCATAAAATGGCATTAATGGAAAGAATGATTTTGGAATGAGAAAGCTTCAGATTTGGATTTTGGCTCAAATTAGGAGACCTTGAGTGAGACAGTTAATCCCTTGGGAGATGCTTAACCTGAGCCTCAGTTTCCTTCTCTGCAAAATTGTTTTTTGAAGTTGTATCAACCCAAAGAAAGGGCTCTCTCTTTCTGTTTAGCTTTACATGAGAGAAAATATACTGCTGTACCGTACATCCGCCTCGGGACTAATATACCTCCTGGTCCTAGAGGGAACTCCAAGAATGGTGGTGTCTAAACAGTCTCCATTGATAAGTGGAAATGGTTGTCTCAGCTGGTTAGGCTGAGTACCAGTTTGGGAGGGTTCCTCCTGCAGGTGCCTGTTGTCTAGATCATCTCCTCTCCCTTGCCCCTTCCTTCCATCACCACTTCCCGCAGCCCCAGGTGGTCAGGAATGGAAAGGATACTCCTTAGTTGCCCCCCATCTTTCTGTCTTGGTAGGGGTGTGTAATGAGATGGTCAGGGCCATGCTCTGCCCTTGTAGCATCTCCTGTCCCCAGCCTCACCCGACAGCTGGGAAGCCAGCTTGGGCCAGCCTGGGCACAGGGTGGTGATTTTCTCCTGAGCTGTCAGATGCCCTTGGGTTTCATAATGCTTGTGTGTAGAGGGGCTTCAATTTCCCTTCAGACTTTAAGGGGAAGGAGAGAAGCAGGTTTGGCAGAAATAGGAGGGAGCTGGCTGCTGCCCCTTCCCCTCAGTCCCTAGGAATGTAGGAATATAGGTCCTTCAGGACAAGGAGGGAGGACAGGCTGCTGTCCTGTGGGGCAGTGGTGGGAGCAATGGAGAGAAAGGGAGGTCGGCCCATCCTTGGGTCTGCAGCCAGAAAGGAGTTTGCCCTGAATAGCTGGGCTGAGAGGCAGAAGTCACTTTCCCATTTCAGTTGAGGACAACTCCGCCTTTTCACTTGCTGAGGCCAGAAGCTTGGGAGCCATCCCCGGCTCTTATCTTTCCCTCACACTACACATTAAGTCTGCCAGGAACTTCTGTTGGCTCTTCTTGAAAATATATCCCATTCTGACCATTTCTCACCAGCTCCACTGATAGCACCCTGGGGGGAGACACAGCCACCCCTTGCTTGGTTTGCTCCACCAGTGGCCACCTCTCAGCTGTCCCTGCTTCCCCTCACTTCCCTGCAGTATCCTTGCAACAGAGCAACCGGGGACGCGGTTCAAATGTTAGATGGTGTGACTCCTCTGCTCACATCCCTGCCACAGTCCACCATTTCCCACAGAGTAAAAACCAAAGTCCTTATAGTGCCAGCTCATAGGAGGCCCTCAATCAATGCTTGCAGAACTTACCTGCATTTAATGACCATCTGTTATAAATCAGGCACTGTGCTAGGTGGTATCCATGCATTAGCTCATTTGAATCTCATGATTATTTGTAAGAAAGGTGTTATTATCCCCAGTTTACAGATGCAGAAACTGAGGTTCAGAGAGTTTTATAGCTCATCCAAGGCCACACATCTACTTGGTGCCAGAGGTGTGATTTCATTTGAACCTAAAGGTGTCTAATTCTACGATCACGATCTTTTCACCTCAGTGGGCTGCTTTACTTAGGGTGCATGAATAAACAGGGATGGAAGACTTAAGCTGAAGGAATTCATCTCTAATGGTGGAATTTGGGGCCTCCACTGGGGAATGGAGTAGGAGCTGGGGAAGAGGGATGCATGTAGCCTCCCTCCCTACCTCCCTCTGTGGTTCTTCAAGGAATTGTCCACTCAGCGGCAGGGTGGGGTGACAGCTCCCCCCAGTCTGACTGTAGGCTGAGTTAGCCTACAGTCTTGGGTCGCCCCCAGAGGCTTTATTTCTGGCTGTGTCTGGCTCACCTTTGGTCCCAGTGCCCTCCTGTGTCCCCAGCCCTGGCAGAGTTTAAGGAGCACTACTCTGATGTCCTCACCTTCAGGAGCATGTGTCTGGGTGGCAGGTCTCACTCTTGCCTTGGTTGGTTTTCCTTCTGCATGGGCACATTCTGCAGGTCTGCTCATTCCAGCCCCTCTGCCTGCTGGCTTTCCTAGGTGGTGTACTTCACAGCCACATTCCCGTATGTCGTGCTTGTGATCCTCCTCATCCGAGGAGTCACCCTGCCCGGAGCTGGAGCTGGGATCTGGTACTTCATCACACCTAAGTGGGAGAAACTCACAGATGCTACGGTGGGCTTATTATTTCATTTAATATTTATTTATTTATTTGTTTTTTTTGGTGGCTGGCCAGTACAGGGATCCAAACCCTTGACCTTGGTGTTATAACACTACGCTCTAACCAACTGAGCTAGCTGGCCAGCCCATATTATTTCACTTGTAACAGACCCTGGGGGAACGGCTGTTGGGGATGGGTCACACTCCGGGATGCTGTTTGGCAGGAGGGGTCAGACTTCCTCCCCCGGGGATCCCACTGTGTGCTTTTACAAGGTCCTGATGATCTTGGTACATTATACACTCAGGAAATATTTAATGAGAAGTGGGCAGCTGAGGATTTTCAGATTCCTGGAATAGTTGTCCTATATCTGGGTTGCAGTGGAGGACGAAAATGGAGAATGAAATCCCCTTAATAGCTTTGGGCCACCGCACACAGCTTATTTGTTACTAATTATAGTGTGTCATTAAGTGGAGTTTTGCTGTTTGGAAAATAACAGCACTTAGGTAAACTGCAAGCAATTCTATTTTAAAGGGCTCAGACACGTTTAACTACTTCTTGTTCATCCACACAGGGCCAGAACACCTTTGAACTCTTTCTATGCATATTCTGTACAGGCACGTCTTACTCTAAAATTCCCAATCCCAAAAACTCCAAATGAGGGTGTGATTGTTGAATGAGAATTGAATTTTCTCACCTTAAAAAAAACTCCGCTTTCCTAGACTGTGTTAAGAACACAGAGCTAGGACTGAGTTTGATTACACATAACAGAACATCTCTACTTAATGGCAGGTGGGATGTGACACAGCCCATTCTGCTGTGGCACAGAGGTTGCTTGACTAAGATTAGAAGCTACAGAATTTCATATTTTTAATAGCAATTATAGTCTATAAGAATGTCAATCAGAAAGGATTTTTATTTTGTATCCATGAATATATTTCGCTGTTGTAAATTGTTTTTTGAAGTTGTATCAACCCAAAGAAAGGGCTCTCTCTTTCTGTTTAGCTTTACATGAGAGAAAATATAATCATGAAATGTATGTATAGTCTATTGAGTTCCTCACTTTTGATTAGAGGGAGTTAAAATCTCCCCAGTAATTTACTACCTTTTTGGCTTTCAGCACAAGTGAGGTATGTTTCTCATTTATGTTGGTGTCCAAAGACATCTTGTCCCTGACTGCCTTTCCCCTGGGGAGATGATGTGGCATTGGGCATGTGGGACTCTACTCCCCTAGAGCCAGTCTCCTTCAGAGACCTTGACTCTTCTCCTTTTGCCTCCTAGGTGTGGAAAGATGCTGCCACTCAGATTTTCTTCTCTTTATCTGCTGCATGGGGAGGCCTGATCACTCTCTCTTCTTACAACAAATTCCACAACAACTGCTACAGGTATGTGGAGGCACTTCCAGGATCCAGAGGTAGCTGATTGGGTCCAGGATCAGGACAGTGGACTGAGTTATCAGACACTTGCAGCCACATCCTTGCACTTCCCCTGAGGTAGAGCTAGAGATTTGCCTCTGGCCTAGGAGAAATCACCTGCTAAGGCCTAGCCTCTGGCTTCCAGAGGCCCGGACCCTAACTTACACCACTAATGCTGACCCGCAGTGGGTGCCCAGTGGCTGTATATAGGATGGAAGTGAGCCTCTCTGGAGGTCTCTGTGCAGCCAGCTGTGTCCTGTGATAGTCGTTTGTGAGCCACCTAGTTCATGAGTGGGTGCCCAGTGGCTGTATATAGGATGGAAGTGAGCCTCTCTGGAGGTCTCTGTGCAGCTAGCTGTGTCCTGTGATAGTCATTTGTGAGCCACCTAGTCCACAACACAATCATATCATAATCACTTATGAAGTATGGTCATTCAGTCTCTTGACAAGTATTTTTCTACATACCCTACAAGTACACATACAAGTATTTTTATTATATAATAAGAGCAACATGATAAGTGGAAAGAGCACCTTGTAGTCAGACAGACTTGCAATTTTTCTACATACCCTACAAGTACACATACAAGTATTTTTATTATATAATAAGAGCAACATAAGTGGAAAGAGCACCTTGTAGTCAGACAGACTTGCGTTTATTATGACTTCATCTTTACTAGAACTCCAAAACATGGGCAAGATAGTTCACTTCTCTGAGCCTCCATTTCCTCTTCTGTAACATGCAGATTATAATATTTTGTTGAGGAGTCAGAGATGATGTATGTACAGTTCTCAGAGCAATATATTACACATAGTAGATACTCAATAAATGGCAGCTGCCATTATTATTATTTTTAAAACAATAATGTATGAGGCATTTTATGAACCAAGAGAGATAGAAAGATTCAAAACATGTCACTGTCCTCAAATAGCTTATGATCTAGATGAAGAGGTGCAAGATCACTGGTGAGGTTTTAGGTTCAGATTGTCAGTCACACTCACAAGACACAATAGGCTTACTTGATATTAAGAAAGGATATGGAATAGGGACCATGGGGACCACAGGCACCCAGACTCAGCTTCCAGCGTCCCAAGAATTTCACCTCCTCATCCGAGGAGTCACCCTGCCCGGAGCTGGAGCTGGGATCTGGTACTTCATCACACCTAAGTGGGAGAAACTCACAGATGCTACGGTGGGCTTATTATTTCATTTAATATTTATTTATTTATTTGTTTTTTTTGGTGGCTGGCCAGTACAGGGATCCAAACCCTTGACCTTGGTGTTATAACACTACGCTCTAACCAACTGAGCTAGCTGGCCAGCCCATATTATTTCACTTGTAACAGACCCTGGGGGAACGGCTGTTGGGGATGGGTCACACTCCGGGATGCTGTTTGGCAGTACTGGGTCAAATTCCAGCAGTTGCAAGGGAGAAAGGAGTGTGTTTTAGGTGGCAGAAACAGCCTGAAGTGGGACTGCACAGGAATGAGTGTGGCGGGGTGTGTAGAGGGAGCAGGTAAATGAAATTGGAGCAGACAGTGTGTGCACATGGAGTAGAAACAGATGTGCCTGAGCGTCCGCTGAGCCCACATTGGAGAGAGCCTCTGTGTCATTTGCCAGGGCTGCCACAACAAACACCACAGACCGGGTGGCTTAAACAACAGAAATTTATTGTCTCACAGTTCTGGAGGCTGGAAGTCCAAGATCAAGGTGTTGGCAGGGATGGTTTCTTCTGAGGCATCTCTCCTTGGCTTGTAGATGGTCCTCTTCTCCCTGTGTCTTCACATGGTCTCCATCTTTGCGTGTATCTATGTCATAATTTACTTTTTTTTTTTTTATAAGGACATCAGTTATACTGGATTAGGGCCCAAACTAATGACCTGATTTTAACTCAGTTACCGCTTTAAAGGCCCTATGTCCAAATATAGTCTAATTCTGAGGTATTAGGGATTAGGACTTCAATATATGAATTTTGGTGGAGGACACAATTTAGCCCACAATAGCGTCGCATGCTAGACTAAGGCATTTTAATTTCTTTGGTCACAACTGCCTTTAACCTGTTGACCTGAATCAGTCTGAACACCATTGAAGGGTGAAGCATTGCCATGTGCTTTATTAGAAATGAGGCTGTGTTGTGTGCAGAAAGGACCCTGGCTAAAAGCTAGAAAGTCTGCATTCAAATCCTGATGTACTGTTAATTAGCTCATTACCTTCCCCTGGGCGTCAGTTTCCTCATTAGTGAACTAAGGGCTCCACAAAATGGATCATTTACTGTGTACCTGCTCCATGCCAGGCTGTGTGCAGTGCAGGAATCATCGTGTTCTGTCCTCATGCACCCTGTGAGGGAGGTAGGCTCATTGCCACCACGTTAAATCAGAGTGGAAAGGAAGCAACTTGCTCAGGGTCTTACTGCTAACAGGAGGGAGAATCAGGATTTCAGTGTAACACTGGGCTCCATCTAGCTGTGACCTTGCATTTGAGTCTAGGGTGGCTTATAATCCATTCATTAACTTGACATTGCAAGAACTTTGAGTAAGGGTCAAACTTCCCTGAAGCATCCCTGAAGGTAGAAGAGAAGATTACAGTGAAGCTGTGGCCTGGGATGTCTGGGACGGCCTCACAGAGTGAGATTTATACTGGGTCAAATTCCAGCAGTTGCAAGGGAGAAAGGAGTGTGTTTTAGGTGGCAGAAACAGCCTGAAGTGGGACTGCACAGGAATGAGTGTGGCGGGGTGTGTAGAGGGAGCAGGTAAATGAAATTGGAGCAGACAGTGTGTGCACATGGGGCAGAAACAGATGTGCCTGAGCGTCCGCTGAGCCCACATTGGAGAGAGCCTCTGTGTCATTTGCCAGGGCTGCCACAACAAACACCACAGACCGGGTGGCTTAAACAACAGAAATTTATTGTCTCACAGTTCTGGAGGCTGGAAGTCCAAGATCAAGGTGTTGGCAGGGATGGTTTCTTCTGAGGCATCTCTCCTTGGCTTGTAGATGGTCCTCTTCTCCCTGTGTCTTCACATGGTCTCCATCTTTGCGTGTATCTATGTCATAATTTACTTTTTTTTTTTTTATAAGGACATCAGTTATACTGGATTAGGGCCCAAACTAATGACCTGATTTTAACTCAGTTACCGCTTTAAAGGCCCTATGTCCAAATATAGTCTAATTCTGAGGTATTAGGGATTAGGACTTCAATATATGAATTTTGGTGGAGGACACAATTTAGCCCACAATAGCGTCGCATGCTAGACTAAGGCATTTTAATTTCTTTGGTCACAACTGCCTTTAACCTGTTGACCTGAATCAGTCTGAACACCATTGAAGGGTGAAGCATTGCCATGTGCTTTATTAGAAATGAGGCTGTGTTGTGTGCAGAAAGGACCCTGGCTAAAAGCTAGAAAGTCTGCATTCAAATCCTGATGTACTGTTAATTAGCTCATTACCTTCCCCTGGGCGTCAGTTTCCTCATTAGTGAACTAGCCCTGGATCAGGGCATTTAGGGGACATCTTTTTGAGCCTGTTGGTGCTTTGTAAATCAGCCCAAGGGAGTCTGTGGTTAGGACTGCTTGTTTCTTTCCTTCAGTGGATACATGTTTAGAAATGGACACATACATGCATGCACACGTGTACACATGTGCACACAAACACACGGAAACACATTTGTGTGTTCTTCTCCTCGTTCCTTCTCACCCAGGAAGCACACCTAATGGCAAACTCTGTTGTTTTCCTTCCAGGGACACTCTAATTGTAACCTGCACCAACAGTGCCACGAGCATCTTTGCTGGCTTCGTCATCTTCTCTGTTATTGGCTTCATGGCCAATGAACGCAAAGTCAACATTGAGAACGTGGCGGACCAAGGTACAGGGCAACTGTCACCTTGCTGTTGCTGGGCAGGTTCCAGGCTCACCTCACAAACTCCTAATTTATGCTATGCTGGGAAGTTGGCCTTCTGGAACAGGATGGAGGGCAGGGGAGCCCACGTCCTCCTTTACAGAGGGACTAAGACATGTTTGGGTAGGAAGATCACTGCAGGATAAGAGCTGGCTGGTCTCTAATCAGAGGAATTGCTTTAAAAGCCCCCTTTTCCTCTTCCCTCTCCTCTCCAGCCTGAGTAAGTAAGGCCTATACCTGTTATACCTGTTCAGTACAGTGAAGGATTCATCAGACATTAGGCAAACCATTGCCCCTGGAGCTGATATTGGCACAGGCAGCCAGAGGATGACTTTCCTCACAGAGGGCCTCGTAGAAACTGAGCACTAACACTTAATAAAAGCACTGACTTCAGAGGAGCCTTTTCCTTACAAAGCATTTTCCCAATCGTTGTTAGGTCAAATGTGTTCTCAGGGCCTTTTGCTTAGTTAGCAATGCAGACGTGCAATTTTTTCTCCAGTGGGTAGAAAGGTTGAATGGTGGGTGGGTGGGTGGTGGGGTATGTGGAATAAATGTTTACTCTCTACCCAAGTGATCCTTACATTAATGGCTAACATTTGTATGGTACTTTCGAGTTTACAAAGAGTTTTCATTTTTTATTCTATTTAATCCATATTTCCAGGACAGCATTTTGCAGAGAGACTGTTTAGGATTTTTATTTAACTCTTTGTTTCCACCCAGCCTAGTTCTACTAAGGGTTTGGATATTTACTAGGTTTTGTTGATTGAGGGAGTTCATTGTGGTTATTGCTTATTGTTATGATCTCATTCCCTAATCAGATATTATGGGATGCCTGGGTGTGTTGGTACTGCCAGGTGCTGTGGGCATGACTGTGGGCCCTACCTAGACAATACAGAGGTATACCCATGAGAGCCTCTTCAAGGAGCTCACTGTGATTTTCAGATAGTAGCTCAGGTGCAGTGGGAGAACTAAGCCCTAGAAAGGTCACCTTTTTGGTGGGCTGCTAGGTCTCTTCTGGCTCCCCGAGGATAATTAGTTACTGCTTCAGCTCATGTTGATAGTGCACCAGGCACCTCAAACAGGTGTAATTATCTCTCCCTGGAGAGAGTGTGAAACCCCGAGGGATGTTTGGTTCTGCAGCAGTGCACTAAATTAGAGGGACCAGGGGAGCTGAGCAAATGCCCCTCCCTGGGTGAAAATTCTGGAACTCCATGGGAGCAGGGAGGGAAAGAGAGTGAGAAGGCTTCGTCCTCAGGGGTGCCTGAGCCACCCCCAGCTGTCCTGTAACCTCATTTCCTCCCAGCAGAGATGCTGGAGCTGATAGATTCTGCCCCACTTCCTAGCAGATCTGAGGCATTTTGCTACTTTTTGTGACATTACTGAGCTCGTTGGGAACCAATGACTGAACTGCCAGTGGTAATGATTCCTGAGACATGTGCCACATTAGTTAACTGTTCTGAGCTCTTTTCTGTCCTGGGAAAGGGATTTGGGGGGAGGTGTTGCTAAAACTCAAGTAGAATTTATCCTGTATGTAAAAAGTAGCAGACAACTGCCTGTTTCTCCCTCTGAAATTTCCTTTTTCCAGTATTTTTTCACTTCCTCTGATTTTAACAGGAAGAACATGTCTAACAGATACTAACCTGTTGTGTTAGCACTTGGTCTCCAGCACAGGGGCAGTGGGCCTCATTCTGTACAGGGGAAGGAGCAGTGGCCCATGAGAACTTCTCCCAGACCCCTGAGGGAAGTTATTCCTGCTCATCTGAACTGGCATATATTCTTATATATGCTCTACAGGCTTGTCTTACTTCTCCCAGTATAGTGGAGGCTCTGCAGAATACAGGGTAGAGATTTGGGGTCAGGCCTGCATTAAATCCTAACCCCACTCCCTCCCAGTTGGGCAACATTGGCATATAGACATTGAGTACATTTTTTGCTGGCTCACCATTGGTAACTAAGTTTTGGTCTTTAGTCAAAAACAGATTCTCCTCAATGACCCAACACCTCAATGACCCTATTTAGTTTACCACTCCCTTCTAAGGGAACCATCTCTGTCAAAATTATCACCCCAAATCTCAGGTATTTCAGAATTTTGAGGGGCTGTGGATGGGACTGAGGATGAAACCATGCTATCCTGTGCTTGTACAATAGGCGTAGGGAAGGGAGCATGTTCTTCCCAGGGATCTACTCCAGAAAAGCAGCGTACAGGGACATCGCCTTCCAGAGCCCTCTCCTGTCCATCTGCGTTGCTACCTATGAAGCAAAGATGTTTATCCAACAGCAGAAAAGTACATGAGCACAAACATGCATATTTTATTTAGAGTTCCCGGGTATACATTGGTAACTCCCAGTTAACCACACTGCTAGGAAGTGCTGCTTTGGTTCTTTTGCCCCCTAATAGTTCAGAGAACCTCCTAATCAAAGTGACTGATCTCTCACTATCAAACAGAACTGACATCCCAGCCCCCATCCAACCATCCACCCATCACCTGGATCCCAGCCTTTCCACCCAAGGGCAAGGGAGTTCAGGTGGTGTGTCCTCAGAGAACTCATTCTACTGTAATAGGTGTCCCAGCTGAGTGGCCATCCAAGCTGTGCTGCAGTCTTGATGTGTTGCAGTGACCAGAGCTCAGTGTTCAGTGGTGCTTTAGGATAAAGGTGGCTCTCGCTGTAGCGTTTCTGGGGAATCTGTCCAAGTTGCCGACCTGCAGAGCCCCTGTGATTCCCTCTCAGGGGGAGATTAATAGTGGTCTATGCTTTCTGCGTCCCTGCTATGCTCAGGCATTATCTAAGCCCTTTACTTATTGTGACTCAATTCTCACAGGAACTCTATGAGGGAGGTGCTATTATGATCTTCAGTGCATGGATAAGGAAACTAAAGTTTGTCCAGAGAGAGCAAATGACTGACCTAAGGTCCCGTGGCTAGTAAGAGGCATGGCCTGTTTTCTCCTCCATGGGGAATGGAGCCTGAACTTCAGCAACTGGGCTGTACTGCCTCCCAGAGGGAGAGAAGAAAGACAGGGATGGGCCTCCATCAGATAGACTATATACTGCTTTGAATATTCACTAGAGGACTGCACTCCCCAGTCACCTTGGAAAAGTGGAGTTTGCTGTAATGTAGCTTGAAAATATGCCTTCATCTGGGTACTTTAGGGAGGCAGCTGAAATTGAAGCAGCCTGAATATTTTGAAATCACTCCTCCATTCCTAAAGCAGTATAGCCCAAAGGGCTGAATCCTGTTAAAGCAAGCAGTTAAGGTCCTCTGATAGTGGCCATCAAGACCTTCCTGTTGGTGTTATGGGCCTGACTGTTGCCACAGCACTGAACTGGCTTCCTGGTTGTTCTGCATTTGAGACCTATTTTGAACTGTAGTTTAATGCAGAGTTTTCTTTTATGGTTCACATAGGGAGCCTTCAGAGGCTGGCTATACAGTCTGTTCAATAAATGCATAAAGTGAGGGTATGTTAGGCATGTGAAGCTTTATACTTTAAATGCCCCAAGGCCTTAAGCAACATTAGGGACTAAAAACCTGATAAATTCTAGTTTTTAAAAGTGCTGTTATGCTTGAGTTATAAAAACTCCAGGTACTGCAATTTCTGGTTTCCAGACGTGCGCCGGCTGTGGATTACCCGGTGCCCACATTCAGTCGTCTCTGCCCATCATCATTTGGTTTTCTACTTACAAGGAAATTCACAACCGCCATGTCTTTAGCTGTGTTTGGTTGCAGTAATCTTCCCAGTGAGGACATGCAGTGGGTAGGAATGACTGTCAGGGCTTCAGGAGAGCAGAGAAAACTGCTCAGACATCTCCTACCAAGACTACATGCAGTATTCCTGGGAGAACCTGAATCAGAACTGCCAACTTCCAAGTTCATTACAAGTCTACTCATGATAAAATTTAATATTCTGTGAGTGCTGATGATGTGTGAGGCACTGGGCTCAGTGTTTTATCAGTTTTTTCTCATTTGTTCCTTATAATCACCTTGTGAGGTGCTATCATTATCCCCATTTTACAGATGGGCAAAATTGGGGCTTATAGAACTTAAATAACTTGTCTAAGGTTGCACAGCTGGTGAGTCGTGGAATCTGAATTTGGACCATATCTGTCTTAACCCTTGCACTATGCATCACTGCTCCTGTCCCCCAACTAATTACCTGTGGACTGATGAAGCCTCATCTTTACCAAGTAGGACAAAATCCTAAAACTGTTGGATTCTTGCTTTATGTGAATGGCTTCTCCTGGAGGACTGACAAAGAGAAAAAGTCGTTAAAGGGGGAAATAATGCTATTCTGGTCATGTTCTGACCTTGAGAGCAGGGATTCTCAACCTCAGCACTACTGACATTTGGGTTGGGATAATACCTTGTTGGTAGCAGGATGTTCTGCGCTTCGTAGGCTGTTTAGCAGTGTCCCTGGCCTCTACCCACAAGATGCCAGTAATCATCCCACTGCTAACCCATTTATGATGATAAAAAATGTCTCCAATCATTATCAGATATTCCCTATGGGGCAAAAATCAACCCTGGTTGAGATCCACCACTCAGGAAGGTAATTATTATATTCTCCCCCAACTTTTCCAGTACAAAAGAGGAGTTTATCGTGTTATTTGCATAGGACACAGCCTGGCCTTGGAGTTGAGTTGAATTGGTGGCTCTGGCCTCTGCTTTGATTATTTTCAAGCCTCTCCTCTGAGTCCCCCTAGGTGTGGACTAATTCCTCTGGTCCTTCCCTTCAAGGAGCTCAATGTCTCTAATTGGGAAAATGGATGGACATGAGTAAAAAAATAGCAAACAGACGAAGCAGCCTATAATAAGCAATGACTCAGGAGCTCAGTACGGAGCGGGCCTGTGGGCTCTGAGATGGGGGCAATCGCTTGTCTTGTTCCTCCCAGGACCAGGCATCGCATTCGTGGTTTACCCCGAGGCCTTAACCAGGCTGCCGCTCTCTCCGTTCTGGGCCATCATCTTTTTCCTGATGCTCCTTACACTTGGACTTGACACTATGGTGAGCCCCTTTCCCATGGATCCTTGTCCTGGGGTCTTTCTGAAGACCCCCTCTCCTGGGTCCTGGGTCCAGAGGGTGGGCTTAGGGGTGCCCGAGCATCTTCCCTGGAGGATGGAGGGATAGTGAGGCGCCGGTCTCTGGCTCAGGATAGCCTCATATTTGTGGGTGCTCAGGCGATGGTGCAGAGGAGCCATTCTGTCTCCCTCTATTCTTCTCTCTGCTCTCCATGCCAAGTGCTAGCCTGCATACTTCATGCCTTGGCAGCATTTTGTGAAAGCAGATTCTGTGGGGCTGGATAAAGGAGAATAATATGAAGTCAATTTTAGGAAAATTGCTGTGGGGCTGAGACTACTACAAATCATGCTGAAAGGTGCTCAGAGTTTAGCTGTTGGGTGCAAAGAGGGTTTTTCCTCCAGTAGAAGATCAAATGCAGGGTAAACAGGAGGAGAGGAATTTATATCTCATGAATACAAAGAAAAGCTTAAAATGTCCTGATGGGTGGATATCAGTGCAGCCTCTGGGGACCGGAAGCACAGTTTCTAAAGCTCACATCCTGCTTGGGTTCTCCTTGTTGGCCTTGCGGGTTGGACCCTAACAAGGCTTTTCAGATTCCTCAAGGGAACGCTATCCTAAAAACTGAACCTAGTACAAATAAATCTTTACTGAGTGGGACACACAAAGGGCTTTTTGGAAGCTTTTGGAGGGACAGTTTGACTCAGATGCCCGTCTTTTGACCATTTCAGTTTGCCACCATCGAGACCATAGTTACCTCCATCTCGGATGAGTTCCCCAAGTACCTGCGCACACACAAGCCAGTCTTCACTCTGGGCTGCTGCGTTTGTTTCTTCATCATGGGCTTTCCTATGATCACTCAGGTAAGCAGCCTGCTGGGCACAGGCTTGGGGTGGGGGCAGGTGTGTGTGAGGCTGATGGCTATCTATCCTTTTACATTAGCTCTCGGATCTTGTAACCATAGCCAAGACACTGCCATTTCCATGTAGACGGTACCAGTGCACTAGGGATTCTGACTGAAGAGAGAAATATGTCATCTTGGCTACTAGGGATGCTTCTAGCATCTTCATAATTGAGATGTAACCTCCTTGAGCCAACAAGGCAGGTGTGTCCTACTTTAAGAAAGCAGAATACATGAAAATCCAATTTACTAACCAGATAAATTTCCAGGTGATTATTCATCATATATAAGAGTCCGCAACAACTTGATTTTCTTCTAGTCTTGAATACGTTGATAAGTTGAATGTTAGCTCACCCAGTGTATTATATTGTTGTCTTTGTGACCTTGAGCAAGTCACTACTCTGGGCCTTAGTTTCTTCATCTATAAAATGATGTAGTGAGATGGTCTCACTAAGCCTCATCTACTGTAGGAAGACTTAAAGAGTGAGGTAGAGATACATGAGGATGTGTGAGATTGCCAGCGATACCTACAGGTCATATGAAGGTCAGTCAAATGCAGTCACTTGGGTGGAAATGATCATAGATGGCTTAAGGTACAAACGAAGCAATGTGGCTGCTTTCACGGATAAACATGAGGATGTGTGAGATTGCCAGCGATACCTACAGGTCATATGAAGGTCAGTCAAATGCAATCACTCCGGTGGAAATGATCATAGATGGCTTAAGGTACAAACGAAGCAATGTGGCTGCTTTCACAGATACAACTTCAGATGTTGACCTTTGTCTCTGAAGAATAGCATGTCAAATCTCCTTTCTGTGCTTGTCCTATTGATTAGCTCAGAGACTGTCAAGGGATTGCTTTGCTAACATGGCAAGGCCTCTGGTTTACATACTGGACCAGGTTTAGGTTACTGCTGTTGAGAGGAGGGGGGTCCTCTGACGCTTGTTTGCACCTGACCCTCCTCTGGATGGAGAAGCTTGGCTGTTAGAAGTGGAAAGAGAGAGCCGAGCTCCAGGGCCCATTTGACATGGGTTGTCTCTCTCTCCTGTTAGGGTGGAATTTACATGTTTCAACTTGTGGACACGTATGCTGCCTCCTATGCCCTCGTCATCATTGCCATTTTTGAGCTCGTGGGGATCTCCTATGTGTACGGTAAGGGCATCACCATTCCTGCTGTGGAGTAGTGCTTTAGTGTGGGTAAGGCATTCACAGCAAGCAGGTTTTCCATATTTAACGAGATACTGAAAGGATTTAATTGCAGCTATTTTGGGAACATAAGAGAGCTGTACCTTTATTCCCAGGCTTTCCTCAGAACCACTGTGATCATATTTAGTACAGAAACTAAAGGTGGCTGATGGCAGAACAGAAATCTCTGTATCAGAGCCCCTAGGACTTGGACGCCCCTTCGGGTGTGGTTTGGCATGCAAACAGTTAATTCCTGTGGCCAGTGGCCGGATAAGGGAGATGGAGTGCTATCTTGCAGGAGTGAAATTATTTCTTGGTCTTGGTAGCTGCAGTGCCCATGCAGTCTGAGGTGAAGGGTGGCTTCACAGCTGGTCCCTGGATACTACAGTGAGAACAGACACCACTCGGCTCATCGAGCCTTAGGAAACTTTATTAGCACTATGGGAGCCTGTGATACAATATCTCAAGCTCAGATTTTCCCAGGAATAAACTCCCAGTTCCCTTACAGTTTAGCCGTCCTACCATAACTATAGTAACCTGCACCCCATGATCAGTGGGATTATTATCAAGAACAACAGGAAGGGTGAGCCATCAGATGCCATCCAGATTTTCCCAGGAATAAACTCCCAGTTCCCTTACAGTTTAGCCGTCCTACCATAACTATAGCAACCTGCACCCCATGATCAGTGGGATTATTATCAAGAACAACAGGAAGGGTGAGCCATCAGATGCCATCCTTGCCCTTTGTGTAGAGGTGTTTATCCTTGGGGTTTCACTGGGGGATCCCTGGCCCCTGTATACACTGCCAGTCAGCAGAAGGAAGTGCCATTTGATTCAAGCCACTGCTGACTTCTTTGTTTCTGGAAGTTTGCTCGGAGCTATCCCTAGAATAAGGCCTCCCTAACAGAGATAAAGCTGCCATGGCAGATAGCAGGAAAATGAAAATTTCCAGTTCAGCCTAACTGTATTTCAAACCCCAAAAGACAGAGCAACGTGCTCTAAGCTAAAAGGAAATACAAGATGTCACTTGGATTGCAGGATATGAGTAAGGGAGAAATGCACCATCTGGAGACCAAAGGAAGAGGGACCCAGGCCAGAAGGGTCTGCAGAACTCTGCCCTTTAAACTGGGGTCCAGCAAAGCTCACCCTAACCACCAGGTATCCTTGATGTTAGCATCTTGCTTTTAATTTAATTGTTAGCCTCCAACCCAACAGGTGCTCAAAGGCTTCTTGCTTTCCTGCAAAATTCATTAAAATAAAGAGGGGTGGATGGGAATCAAGTTGTAAAAAGGAAACCTCATGTGTAAAACTGGAGCACCCCAGAAACAGGAAGATACTGCAATCATTTTTGGTTATTGGTGGAAGGGAATTTGTCTCCGACTGGAGATCACATCCACACTACAGGAAGAATTTAGTTTCTGGCAAGAAAAGTGGGCAGGCAGGCCAGCTGTCCTGATGAGATCAGAGACCAAGCTGCCAGCACTTTTGGCTGATAAGACAGTCTGGTCCCTGCAGTGATGCTGAGAAGGAAGACCTGCTGTCAGAGTTAGGGTAAGACTTCAAAGTGCTTTCTACCTGAGTGCAGTGGCAGAAACTCAAGTGAAATGAGTTTTCTCCACAGTGAATCTTAACTTTCTTCCTAGATACCGGAAGCCTTGCTTGCCAGGAGAGGCAAGGAGAGGGCTCAGAGGTCCTCCTTTGGAAAATCAGCCCATGGTGGGTGCACATGTAAGATGAGGTCACCAGATGGTCCTCTGGTGAAGTCAGGAAAGCACTTCAATTACAGCACTGGCCCAGTTGCACGTACCCATCTCATTGACCTCCTCTGCTATCTATGTCCTAACTGCTAATTGCCACAAAAGCCCATTTGCACAGTTCTTTCCTGTGAAACAGGGCTATTCAGTGTGGTTTAAAAGCACTATTAAAATAGAAACCTTTGAACATTTCTGTTTTTAGAAGTTAAATAACTGCCCCCCCCCCAATCTGGTAGTAGATTTCTTGGTTTTGAAGGAAAAAATAAATCAGTATCTGAGCTATGCTAATTGTTGTAAGGAAGTACCCAGGAAATCCCCTGGTCTCTAAAAGTACTGATGCTGGGCCAGCCTCCAGAAGCAGGTTGACTCTGTGCTGAGCTCAGGTTGAACTTGACTTCTGCAGTGTCAGATGTGGATGTGAACCTCTGATTTGGACCTGGATGGAATTTTAAGAAGTGAATCTCAGGAAGAAATAGTTGAAATAAACTAACATAATTGTTAGGGATGAAAGAAAATGCCTGCACAAATGTGTAAATTATGCCCCAGAGGAAAGTGCATTTTTTATTGAGATAGTGAAGCCCCAAACCAGTGCAAGGTTAGTTTAAGACAGTTGAACATGAATCTGTGAAGAATGAAAATGAAACTGACTTATTTGGTGCACAGAATTTAAAAAATAAGCAAGTGAGTTGCAGAGATTTGTGTTTTCTTCTTGCTTCTAATAGTCTCTAAATTCTAGAGAATGTCATTCAAACACTTGAAATAGGATGGGTACAGTTTTCAAGTTTTGTCTTAGATTAAAATAGCTTGATCTATGTTCACATGTCAACATACCTCAGAGGCTAACAGCTGGGTTTGAGACATCCAGGTTCAAAAGTGGAACTCCCTGAGTTTGGTGTAGAAGTGAGCCCTTTAATAGACTTTTACCTAAGTAGAGTCACTTTGTAAAAGTGATTTGCATTTTCCTGGGAGCCATCACAGGGACCTTCTGGCTGGGGGAACAATGATTGAACAGTCACTGCCAAGACCTCTCGATACCACATGTGACATGGTCTCAATCTGTTTTCCACTTCTGTCAACTGCTTGTTTCACGTCCCTCTCCCCAGACTGTTTCTGTCCACATCCTTGTGTGGCACGTTAGAGTCACACCAGGCAACGGCTTCTAGATGATGGAATATGTCTGTCTTTAGTTCCTGTTGCCCATCCCGCTGGCTGAACTCGGCAAGGTTTTTTTAAGCCCCAAAGAAAATAAAACAAGAGAAACAAAACAAAACAAAAACAAACGAATAGTTCTCCCAGAACTCTACAAACTCAATCTTATTTTTTTCCTCCATAACCTCACCCACCGGAGGTCCATTTTCACTTATGTTTTTGGGTGAAATGTCACTGTATCCACATCCTGTTTCAGGGCGTAAGTTCCCCAGCTCCATTTGCTGAGGTTCAGTAAATATTAGGAATGAGAGGCTTCAGTCCCTGAATAATCACACAGGTAAATGTATGTGAGTAAATAAACGGGCACTTATTCAATGCTCACTGTATGCCCTGTGTGCTCCTAGGAAAGTGGGGAGGGTAGGGGTAGTTTCCTACATTGATGGAACTTGCTGACTAGCTACCGAGGAAGATCAAACATGTAAAATGTTGAGAAGGTCAGTGCTAAGTAGTGAATCCCTAGCTACACTGTATGCCCTGTGTGCTCCTAGGAAAGTGGGGAGGGTAGGGGTAGTTTCCTACATTGATAGAACTTGCTGACTAGCTACCGAGGAAGATCAAACATGTAAAATGTTGAGAAGGTCAGTGCTAAGTAGTGAATCCCTAGCTGTGAGCCCAGTTGCTGCCCAGAGATGGGTATCTTAGAGATACAAGAATATAAAAGAAGTAAACACTAAGATGTAGGGAGTGTTAATCTTACTTGATTACCAACCAAGGAAGAGAGAACTTGAGTCAACATAGAGGAATTTGGCCCTGAGGGGTGGGGTCTTCACATTACCTATAAAAGAATAACTTGGGCATTTACTTGTCCATAGGTGTACAAAGCACTGGAGATGCAATTTGTGGGACCTACTGTAAAATAAAAATGAAGTGCCTTATTAAAAAATTATTAAGAATTTCAAAATGGGCAGGAGGAGAGCATTAAACCAGATGCAACACCCTTCTGAGCACAGTGCTCTGTGTGACCACACAGCTCGTGAGCCAGGAAGCTGGCCCCGGCCATGCAGGAGGGACAGCAGCCCCCATGAAGACTACGTCCAGATAAAGGGCAGGGGTGCAGCTTATAAGGGCAAAAGCCACAGCATTGCACACAGGGAAGTGAGTGGTCAGTCAAAGCAAGTCCTACACTTCCCAGTCCAGAGTTGGTCAGTTGTATGGAATTTGTTACAGCTGATTTCTGCACTTCACATCTGTTTGTTGAGTCCAAAAGAGTGACCACACACTTGCCATCTTTGTTTCCTGCCTGTTGTTTTTCTGCTAATTCAGACTAGTCTTTGAGAAGCTGCTCAGATCCCTTTTGGGGCCTGACTATTTGCATCTTAACCCCTCCAGGCTCAAGGTCAGGCAGCAGGCAAGTCTCTTGTCTATGCTCAAGGCTCCATGAACAATTTCCTTATCATGAGTTAGGCTTCGAAGCCAAGATGGATTTGGATCTGTGGAAAGAACAGAGCAGGTAGGGGAAGCCATATAAACACAGGCCTAATATGAAGACAGCTGTTGGTTCAGAAAAGTACTCAGGTGGGGATGAGGTTATGAGCCGGGGCATGGGAGGGCTGGGGCTGGATGGGAGTTAGAGCAAGTCAGAGGCTGCAGGGCCTGGAGGACTGGACTCTGGGCACAGGGCCGAAGACTTGCCTGGAGGCTCCCAGCTGTGCCCCTGGGCTGCATCTGCAGCGACAGCCTGCAAGTTGGCAGAACAGGCAGAGCAATCACAGGAGCTGCAACTATCAGAGGCAGAGGCCAGGTGTTCAGAGCCATTGTGTGAGGTCCAGGGAGGAAGATGACTTTCCAGGGTTCAAACTGGCCCAGAACTCAAGCCTTTTCACTCTCTGTCCTGAGACTGCACCTCTGCATCAAGCTCCTGCTTACTGAAGATTGCACACCTGTCATCCATTCTTTTCTGTAGCTTGAGGTCCTGCTCTTTGTCCTCTTTGGGGAAGTTGAGCACTTTTACCTCTAACCCCTCCTCCTGTAGGGTGCTGACCATATGTCTTCCTCAGGTCTAACCTTGAGCTCTATCACATCAGTGTCCCCAGTCAAGCCACACATCACCATCTTTTGGGGATGGTTTAGTGGAGAGGAACAACTTGGCAACAAGATTGATGCTGATACAGAAATTTTAGAATTTTTTTTTTTTTAAAGAACTGAGATCTGCTTTTGGTGTTTTGTGTATGTTTATAATAGCCTCAACTTTGACTTCTATCTCTTCGGTTCTCCCCCCAACACTTGTGTCAATGGGCCCAGTGTCAAGAGGCCACTTACTTGAAGGTGTTTGATAAAATACTACAGGAAACAAACAAGCAAACACATCCAGAGATGGTCAGGCCAACTGCTCAAAGCATGCCATTCTTGCCTATAGACCCCAGGAAGCAACCTGGAGCCACCTTGCATCAGGCCTGACCTCCCCTAAGAGCTCATTTGGCCCAGTCCCCTCATTAAACCAGGAAAAACTCAGAGAGGTGGAATGCCTTCCCTAAGGTCACACAGTGAGTTACAGGCAGAACTGGGGTCCAACTCTTGGATCCAACTCCCAGTCTAGTGCTCTTGCCACTGTACACATTTGTGGTTGACCACTACTAGACTTACCTTAAAGTAGAGCGGGAAGCTCAGCTGCATCCTGAGAAATTTCAGGGTGATTTGAGAGGTGGCCCTTGGTGAATCGCCAAGACTGTTCCCAGCACAGACCACTCTATAGCACACTTGGGACCTGGCTGTCCTCTGTGATGGCTACTGTCGGGGGGCTGGAGATTCAGTTTAGAGGGCTGGCTGACATCCTGGGTCTGAGTTTGGCAGGAAGTAGAAGCAAATTTAAGGAGATGAGGGCCATGAGAGGTCTCAATTATTTTGATGGTCATGGCTAGAGTGGACTTTTTTGGGTAAATTTTAAAATCAAAGTATAATGTACACACAAGAGGGCTGGCCTGTGGCTCACTTGGGAGAGTGTGGTGCTGACAACACCAAGTCAAGGGTTAAGACTTACTGGTCATTAAAAAAAAAATATATACACGAGAGTGTGGTGCTGACAACACCAAGTCAAGGGTTAAGACTTACTGGTCATTAAAAAAAAAAAATATACACACACACACACACACACACACACACACACAAGAAGGAGCATATATATATTTTTTCCATTGTAAATTCCTTTTTATTTATTTCTTTTAAAAATTGGTTATTGACAAATGATAATTGTATGTATTTTGGGGGTACAAAGTGAGGAAGACGGCAGTCCTTTGAGTTCCCACAAAGTGGGCAACAGCCACTTGGAATTTATGTTGGTTTTTGACTGACATTATCATCTTACACAAAACAAAGATAAATGGTCTCCCTGGAAGAGTGTCACTGGGAGGATGAGGGACAAAAAACAATGTACAGTGACTTTTGCTCTAAATTCCAAGGCTTTTGTAATACACTCTGCTTATTGACCAGGATCTTAATTGGTTTTGCCAGAGTTGTTGCTAACACTGGGAGGATGAGGGACAAAAAACAATGTACAGTGACTTTTGCTCTAAATTCCAAGGCTTTCGTAATACACTCTGCTTATTGACCAGGATCTTAATTGGTTTTGCCAGAGTTGTTGCTAACCACACAAGGTCACCTCAGAAAACAGCCACATATGTGAATATGCCAGGCTGTGGCAGTGCTGAGATGCCTGGGCTGGGCTGGAACTGAGCTTTTTAGATGTCGCCATGGGCTGACATTTTTGAACCTCACTGCAGAGAATATTTAATATCTATTTAAATGTTCAGTCTGCCCTAATCTTCCTGGCAGTGAGTCATTTGTCTGATGGTTCTCTGCATAATAGGGATCAGGATGACACCTAGCGCTTGAGTGAGGGGCTCCGGTGCCTGTCCCCGGCCCCTGCCTCACCCCCTGCACTGCACCTCATACTCTCTGTTTGTCTATTTGTAGGCTTGCAAAGATTCTGTGAAGATATAGAGATGATGATTGGATTCCAGCCCAACATTTTCTGGAAAGTCTGCTGGGCATTTGTAACTCCAACCATTTTAACTGTAAGGATTGCGTGCTTTATCAAGCAGATGGTACCTTGCATGTGTATGTGGTGTTTTACATGTAAACACTGGGAAGCTGGTGGGATGGGTATTATCCTTGCCTTTCAGATGAAGAAACTGAGGTTCAGAGAGGTGAAACGTCTTTCCTAAAGGTGCCTAGCTGGTCAGGTGCAGAGCTGAAACTCATGCATGGGTCTTTGGAGCATTTCCTATGCTCCTGTGGAATTTTCCTATGGAATATTTCCTATTATATCAGTCTGTCTCATGTATTGATACCAAATAACAATCCCAGCCAACATTTGCTACTTGCTAACCACATTCTAGGCTCTGTTCACAGTGCTTTGTGTGTATTTCTTCATTTCTCCCTCACAGTAGCTCTTTAAAGCGGGCATTATAATCACCTCCATTTTACAGATAGGGAAACTGAAGCAAGAGCTTGTGTGATTTGCCTAGCATTGCACACCTAACAATTAGCAGCAGCCTGGGTTCGAACCCAGGCAGTCTGGCTCCAGAACACATGCTCTTAACCACTACTCAATATAGCCTCTGTACAACTAATATAGCATTAATTAGACTTTTATTGTTCCTTTCTTTTGCTTTTGAACACTATCTTGTCATTCTCAAGTGTGATGAGGACATTTGGGATCATCTGACATTCATCTCTTTAAAGTTCAGAGTCCTTCATGTGTCAGTAAATGCACATAAGGACTTACATTCATATCTTGTCACTTTGTTATTGTGCCATAAGCTGCCAGCTTTGGTCTGCTCTGCTCTCCAAGCACAGTAATTGATGGAGAGCTTGCCTTTCTCCCGCCTCCTCTGGCTTGTTGTGGGTGTCACATTGCCAAGGACAGAGAAAGTTGTCTGTAATTCCTGATGGGCCCAATAGGTGGCACTAGAAACCAGATTAAGACCCTCATTTTAAAACACAGTAAGTACCAGCTTCTCTAAAGGAGAACAAGTCAGGATGAAAGTACAACTGCAAAGAAAATGTATATTTTTCTTTTTTATACTCTCACAGAGAAAGTTTTAATCAAAACACCTCAATTTCTTTCTGAAAAGCTGGAGGTTTGGCCAGAAAAAACATTCAGCTATATCTCCTTCTGCTTGGACACAAACATCGTATGGAGGCCCACATTCGTACCCATATTTTAGAGGCTGTAATTTGTCTGAAAATCCCACCAAATTTCGGACATGAAAGTTGAAAAGGATTAAGACAGGCTTGCAATCTCTTGAATGCAGGACTGAAATGTGTATGAAGAACCAATTAGGATTTTCCTAACTGGTGGGAGGGATTGGTCTGTCAAGCGCCTTCTGCATACAGAGACACTCTGGCCTCTGGTGTTCCCTGTCTCTGCCGAGCATCACTGTTTTCCCCAGTTATGACTACTCTTGATTTATTCTTGGCTGAAACAAAAGTTAGAGTCTGTCCTAGATTCTGCCTTCCTTTCTTCCTGTCCTAGAAGAGATTAAGTTTCAGAGAATTTTATTATATTCTGCAGACACATATCACATGGTAATAATCAGCATTACTATTTATTCATGTCTATTATGAAGTAGGCACTTTACAAACATTGTTTCTGAAGTTATCAATCACTCTGCCTGGTGGGTGATTCTTTCCCCATTTTACAGATCTGTGCACTGAGGATTGGAGAGGTTAAGGAACTTGCCGAAGGCCACAGGGCTTGCAGGTGGCAGAGCCAAGAATTGAATCCAGGGCTGTCTAGGCTTCAAGCTTGTGCTCTAGTACATTTCTAAAAAACCCAGTGCTTTCATACCCAAGTGAAGTTTGGACAGTTTTGGATTAAAATAGTCCTAATCTTCTCTATGAGTGGAATGTCTGGGAAGAGGAATTCTAGGGAATTGTTGCATTTTTTGAGAAAGTTCCTTAACTATGCTGTGCTTTACTTGATTTCCATATAAAACTCATGTCAGAAAGTTGTGGAGAGGTCCCAGAGAATATCCTGAACCAGAGTTCCCTTCTGTGTTGTTTGGGAACTAGGGACAATTAGAAGTGGTTAATTGCCAACCAATGAGTGTCTCTCCAGTGCCTTCTTTGGCTGCCATCAGCAAAAGGTCAGGGTAGCCCTGACTTAGTGGCTAAATTATCATCTCTCATGGACAAGCCCATCTGAGGGCAGGGTTTTTTCCAAGCTGACTTGACAGAGGGAAATTTATTGCAACCAGTTTGCACAGATGAGTTTCATGTGATATTTGCACAACCAACACTTATTTTTTGCCTTTTGCCCTTCTGTAAAATGGATATTTGTGGTGTGCAGGAATAGGCTAAGATTATGGGTTTAAATTACTTAGGAGCCCGTGAAATAAAATTGATCATTTTTATATGTGCCTTTGTGGATTTATAGAGCTATAAATATTCTCCATGCAATTATTATATACATAGTCAGGTCACGTTACTGAGTTATGCACACACATAAGCAGATGTATTGCTATTTATACAGTAAATGAAATGGAGGAGCTTACCATAATTACATTAGGCCATACTTCCAATGGACTAGTTAATAAAGCTTATAACTCTAGGGGCAAATGTTTAAAAAGGGGCCTAGAGTAGGTATCTCTTTCCATAGGAGCATTTTTTTTCCAACAGTTGTCTTCAGGCTCATGTTGCTTTGAATCAATATATTGAATTATTGTTGCTTGAAATAACCACTTGCCCCGGCAGCCTGGGCTTTGCAGCAATAATATACATGCCTTACATTAGCATAGTGCTTCACACTTTTCCAAAACACTTCCATGTATTATCTTTCCTGACATAATTCCCTCTAATAATTTTTGGGCAGTTATTTTACAGCTTAAGATAGGACCCAAGAGAGGTGGGGAGGGGAAAAGACTTATGTGGGTAGATTATTCTAGGTTGATGTTGCCATAGGCAGAGTGAATGCAGGTGCCACATAATTTTCAATGAAACTCCCTCCCCACTTCACCCCAAAGGCTTGGCTAGAGCAGTTAGAATAGAACCTTTGCTCCATCTTTTTAGGTGCCTGTTTTCCGCACACGCATTCCTTGTTTCTCTTTGGCTGCATTGGCCAAGTCTTCAGAGGGGTTCTCGTGGTTGTTTCCAGCTGAAGTGTGCAGTGACAGGAGATAATGGGCAGAAAATAAATCATTACCTCTCTTAAAATGGAGGGGGGACTCGAGTAAGTACCAGACTACCGTTCGCAGAAAACCCCTGTGTTGTATACACAGTGTGAAATATATCCATTTTATGGCAGAGAAGCCTGAGCCATAAAGGTCCCTTAGCTAATTAGCAGAAGAGCCAAGATTGGCTTTCTGGTCTCTGGGCTCTCAGCTCATTGTTTGGTGGTGACGCCTGTTCACCTTGAGTCATTTGAGGGGGAGCTGGGCATCCATTCTCTTTGTCCCAGAACTTTTTATAGGACCACACTTCTGGCTCAGTCAATGCTTGGGGGCCACACTAGGTCTCACTCAGCCAGCTTTAGAGGCAGCTCCTGGAAGTGGGCCATTCCTCATTCAAGGAGAAAGCAAATTAGACTCAATTTAAAAAAAATAAAGTACATAAACTTAACGGGTTTCCTTCTTATAACAAAAGCTTGATTATCCATTGTAGAAAGTACAGACAACCCCTTAAAAACACCCTCCCCCCGCCTGCACACATTAGTCACCTTGATGTACATTCTCTACATGTGTCTTCCCAGCCCGTCATTGCTCAGTTCCCAGGGGACGACAGATGCACAGTCAGCAGCTAAGTGTGTGTCATCTCCATCTCTTTGAAATTCACTATCTTCATTTGGAAAGTGGATTAATCCTAGGCATAAAATGAGGTAACAGATATGAAAGCACAAAGTCATAACAGGGGTTTAATACATGAATAATTCACATCAGCACCCTAACGTACATGTCTCTTTTTTCTTCCCAGTTTATCCTTTGCTTCAGCTTTTACCAGTGGGAGCCCATGACCTATGGCTCCTACCGCTACCCTAACTGGTCCATGGTGCTTGGATGGCTAATGCTCGCCTGTTCTGTTATCTGGATCCCAATTATGTTTGTGATAAAAATGCATCTGGCCCCTGGCAGATTTATTGAGGTAATTCTATCCATTTCTCTCCCCTCCACCCCCTCCTAAGGGAGAGCTCCTGAAAGCTTTCCTTAGAAAGCTCTGTGCATTAAAAAACAGAAGATTCAGTAAACTTACTCGAGGGGGAGACTTGGTGATTAAGTGATTACAGTTGCCACTGTTTCTATTAAACCCATTTTTATTACACATTATTCCTCTAATGGAGGGGTTCAGCCAATCCACAGGCTGAGATGTTATTATGCTATTCATCAGTGTGGTGACAGCTCTGGGGAATGAATGATCAAGTGTCTGCTCTTTCTCCTCCTCACCCCTCACCCACAGTTTAAATCTCAGTGTTTGGTTTTTAACCGCATATCTGATTCCCCCTTTCCTGAGGTTCCTCTCTGTCCAAGCCTCCTCCCTCCCAAACATCTATTACCATTAAATTTAAAATCACTACCCCCTCCTGTGGTGCTGTGTTAGAGATGGCTGAGGGATCCAAGCTGATTAAAACGTCACTATTCCTGAAGAATGTAATGAGAGTCCTAGGACATGGATGGTATGAGGCGAGACTTGTCTGTCTTTGTCAATTAGCCCTTGCTGGGCCCATTTCCCATTTGTGATGCAAAGAAACCCCACCTTTACTCCAGAGTGGATGGGAAGGGGACTGCCATGTGTTGAGCCACTAGTGAAGTGTGGTCAGGCTTTTGATATTTATGAGAAGTCACTTGCTCAGGTGTGCTAGGAATTGATCAGCCCTGCCTCTGCCTTGAAGGTCCAGGGATCTGGCATTTTTGACTAGACCAGTGCTACTGAGTATTTGATCTAGGGACCAGCAGCATCAGCATCACCTGGCAGCTTGTTGGAAATGCAAATTGTTAGGCTCCAGGCAGCTCCACTGAACCTAAATCTCGGCAAAGTGGGACCCTGGCATCTGTAATTTAATAAGCCCCTGATGCACGCTGAAGTTTAAGAAGCACTGGACTAGACCAAGGTGAAGAAACACCTGCCAATAGAGGGCAGAGAACAGCATATGGGCTTTGCTCTAGGTCAGCCAGGTTGAAAAAGGGAGAGTCCTCTGGAGCATCCAGAGCTCCAGAAGGGAGAAGCCCAGTGGGAATAAGGTGTGAGTAAGTGCACAGCATAAAGCCCACTTGGCAGGAGGGAGCTTTTGTTTTCATTGGACCGACGATGGTCAAGGGAGGTAGGGGCATCCTCTTCCCGAAGCTTATTCCAGTTTGCATCCTTAAGAAATTCTGTTTGTTATCCCCTTGAGATAAATTACTGTGGCCCCATTGACCTGCAGGGATGGCCCCAGGTATACCTCCTCCCCAACTGGCACAGAGATCTCTTTCCCTCTGAACAGAACCTGGTTTAGCCTCTGCTACTTTTGTCTTATGCTGAAATCCTCTAAACTGATGAGTCGGCTACATAAATTTATTATGGTTGATTTGGGACACAAAGGTTGCAAACTGATGATTAAGGGGAGATTAAACTAACAGCTATAAGAACCAGCTTCACTTTAATAGGTAATAAACATATAATTGTTCCCTCTTATGTAGTCAGAAATATGTTTTCTCTCCTTTTTGCTAGAAAATGTTCCAGTAAAATTATGTTTTCCATAAAAATTTCAGTTGAAGGATTAGAGACATTCCCATTTTTTTAGCTTGTCCACAAGAACCCACATGGCTGAACCAAATCAGAAATGTATATTTTTGTCAACAGATAATTAAAATCTTTGCTCACTCTTGGCAATGTGTCTTTGGGGTTGGTCCCTTCCCCCCCGTTTCATTTATATGCTTTTGGGAAATATGATAAGCAAAATCCAATTATTTGGTTGTAGCAACCCACTGTTGAGACTATAGAACAAAAGTAATTGAGCACATGTCTTTTGCAGACTGTGTTTGGCAGTGGAGAGACAAGCTTATGGATTCTCTTCATTTGGAGGGAAAAAATGTATAATTAAAATCTGGGCCCTTTATCCACTATTAATCTTGTGCAAGGCAAACACAGAGCAATTCTAATGTTGCTTGAAGGGTGATGTAAATAATTTGAAGTGAACCAACCTAAGTCTCCTCTTTAAAGTCCCTTGCCCACTTTATTATTAGGGCTGATCTGCCTAACTGCCTCTCTTGATCGGGGGCTCCTTGGCTCAAGTAGAGGCTCTGGCAAATGTGGTCACAAACAGTTTGGGGATGGGTGGGTGGTCCCTAGGGAAGGAAGGTGCATTATTTCTGTGACCATGTGTGTCTTTGGCTTCTTTGCAGAGGCTGAAGTTGGTGTGCTCCCCACAGCCAGACTGGGGCCCATTCTTAGCTCAACACCGCGGGGAACGCTACAAGAACATGATCGACCCCCTGGGAACCTCTTCCCTGGGACTCAAACTGCCAGTGAAGGATTTGGAACTGGGCACCCAGTGCTAGTCCAATGGCGTGGGATGGTCCAGATTTGATTCTGTTTTCCTCTCTGCTTCCCTCTAATGTTTTCCCCAGCTTTCCTCCCATTTTTCTTCTTCTTTCTCCCCACATCTCGGTTCATATCTGTGCATGGGAGTGGTTACATAGAAAAGTAGGACATAGTGTCCCATGTTATGGTGGACAGCCAGACAGACTACCTGAAACACTGTTTACCTGTGTCCATGGTGTCAGTTTCTGGTTGGGGTGGTGCCTTGAGTATGTGCTCTACCCGGCATGGGTGGATCAACCAGATGGACGTTGGTAGATATGTGTGGTTTGGACATTAGAGAAATACCCACAGTGTGTTGTCATTAGGTGGTGCCAGTAAGAATGGCATATATAGAATGGCAGAATTGCAAGACTTAATTTGGACTCATCAGCATTGTAGAGCTGAGCTGAGCAAGGTAGTGATTTTGTTCAGATGCAAAAAGTTCAGAACGGGGTATGTTTAAGAGTCAGCAATGGTCAGAAAATGTTTTGGATGAAAGACAAGACTGGTAGATTTGATCACCACTGAGGTTGTGGTAAGTTCATATTTCCAGTCACAGTTGGGGTATGTTTCCTTCACTTGGACCAACTGTCCTAAGTGTACCATGAACTCAGATGCTTCACTCTGCACACTGAGTCTGAATGAAGTGTCGGTTCTTTTCCCTCAATCATCTTTTTTTAAAAAAAAATTATATTTGCACATTTGTGAGCTATTTTGGCCATATCCTTCACCTCTGCACAAGAAGCCATCACCTATAATTTGTGCCTAATTTTGTACGTTCATAGTACACTTCCTTTCTAATTTCTACATGACATTCAGTACCGTGGTTTGATGTCATGATCCTGTGTTTCTTTTCCTCTAAATGTCTGTAGATACCTTGTCTTTAAACCTCTGGGAAAGCAAGACTTATCCTGGTTCTGTCTATATATTTTATATATATATATAAGACACAAACTCTTAAAAGACAGATTAACTTCTCAATTTTTACTCTTAACTTTTTCATTCACAGTAAATGCCAATTGTGGTCATAGAAAAGTCAAAGAAATAGAAAGCAACCACAATATTCACTGCACTGGTAGTACATTTTAGGTCACTGTATTTACAGAAATTTCTGATAAATACAGCTTAGGTAAGTAGCAAGTGAACCAATTAAGACTATAGCTTTTAAGACTCCATTTAGCCAATTCAATTTTAAGAGTTCCCTATCCACAGTACTCATTGTAACCGCACTCTAATGAGAGTGAATCATGTCTGCAGAGAGTGGCGAAGCCATAACATTTATAATCTTCTTGTATCCTGAACATGTGTATGTGAAATTTTAAAAATGTGATATGTGTTCATGTAGTGTGTACTCGTAGTGGTGTTTTCTGTCCTTATAAATATCTAATGAACCACTGTAGAGATGGTGAGTTTAGAATAGTGTAGTCTGGATTTTTTTTCCTTACAGTAATAATATCTAAACCTAAAATTGTTTCCTTCAGGGGAGACTGTTTTAATCATTTTCTTATTCATTTGTTTTCATATTACAGGGTCTCAGGCAAAGTTTTCAGTTCAGATCTTGTATATTGATGTGACATTTTCATTCTGTTTAACAACAATGAACCGTACCAACAGACTTTAATGTAACATTTTTTGAAAAATGACTTCATTTGTAACAAAAAGTCTCAATTCATTTTACTGAGCTCTCCCTTTTCTAGGGCGATTATCATTGCCATTTGCCAACACCGATGGGAACTTCCAGTTTTCCGGAGTAGCCTGTGAAAGGTTTTAGGAAAGGAAACAAAGATGGTTTTTGAGCTTTAGAGTTTCATGTCTTTTGTCTGCAGTGTATGTTTGTTCTTCCTCTTTCTTGTTTTCCCTTTTCCTGTCTCTCAAAGCTAGAACTTGCTAGAATCTATCACAGACATCAAACCCCGAGCTTCCCCTAAACTTAGCTTTAGGAAACTGAGATGTGGCCCCATCTGGTCCCAGTGTCTCCTTTCATAACCTGTCTGCCATTAACACTGGTTTCCCCAAGAAAGTCATACTGATGAAAAGCACCCATTACTGTAGCAGATGGAAAATGGTACCAAAAATTAGCCTCTCCAATTGATATCTGGTCAAGTGAGAGAGGTGGGGAGGAGTAACTTAGGCCTGGAGATTATCTGCAGCCCTTCCAGTTTGAAGGTTGTAGAAACGAGCTTAAATCAATTAGCATTCTCTCGTGGGAATGGTATGTTTGTGTCAGGATGAATGGTTTTTGGCTTTTCTCTCACCTCCTGGCTAAAATTCTAGTCTAATGCTGGATGCCAACACACTTTCTGCTAATTATTGCTGTTGTGATTAAAAGAAGCAAGGAGAAAAAACCCATAGATGCTGCCAGGTTTGTTTTGTACAAACTGAAAGTTAACTTAATTGTGAGAATGGAGACCTTCTCACTAGCTACTGTGTTTTGCACTTGGGGGCAGCTACATTTGTGTTCATTAGGATTTGTCCAGGTAAGACCCAGTAGCTACTCCTGGAGCAGCTGGGGTATTGTCTTGTTTTGTTTTTTCCTTTTCCCAACAATTTCCAAGTTTTATATAAAATTTGCTTAAAGGGACATGCGCAGGTGAAAAGTTCCTAACTTACCTGGAAATGGTTACCTTGCAAATTTAGTTTCGTCTGTTTCTATAGCTCTGTTCAACTTTGAGGCTTTCCTTGGTGTGGATGTGTTCATTGTCTGAGCTGTTTCTAGTCATTGTGCATCTACCATGCTATGCCTCCTGTGGACTCGGCTGGGATCTAAGAGCTGAGATGCGTACAGCCAGATGGATTGTTTCTATGCTATTAAAATGCACAGTNATCTAAGAGCTGAGATGCGTACAGCCAGATGGATTGTTTCTATGCTATTAAAATGCACAGTAAATTGAAAAAAAAAAAAAGGAATGAATAAAAATAAATGAACAGCAATGTCATAAAATGCCAACCTGAGAGTTTCCTTCCAACTGGGGGAAAAACTGAGTTGCTGAGGGAAGACTTTCAGTGTTTCACTGTGCAGAATGGTGGGGCATTTTCCACTTGTGAGATTATTTCATAATACCAATAAATGCCAGAAACTCATTCAGAAAAAAAAAAAAAAGCCATATGTGAAAAACAGTAACCCTGTAATATTCTTAAAGGAGAAAAAAAAATGTATATTTCTTAACTATCTGTGTTGTGGCTTCTTATGCAAATGTTTGTCTTGCATATTAGTAACTTTTAATCTTGTAGGGCTGTATTTGTCATGTACAAATGTGTCCAATTCTGGTCTTTTGTGGCAGTTGTTGTTTCTCTTTTCTTTATATTTATTTACTGCATGAAATCTGTGGTCAATGCAAAAATCTTGATGACCTCACTGTCTTTAAAACTTCCAGTGTGTTTTTAATATGTAAGAAATGTAATCAACTTGTATTTCAGTAAGCAGCACTTTAAAAAGAGTTTAACACAATGACCTTTAAGTGGATGACTTGGGTTGTCTTTATGCTAATGCAGCATTGGAGTCTGGTTTTCCTTTAATTAAGTTTTTGTTCCGTTATCTACATGAGCCTCAGTGCTTTCTGTCCACCTTCTCCTGTCAGCATGGTTTTCCCATGCTTAAAATTAAGATTTTTCTTTCTGCTTTGTTCCTTTGGCCATTGGCCATTGTCCTCTTCCCAGAACCTAGCACAATAGCTGTTGCTTAATATATGCATGGTGGCAAGATCATACTGCTGTCGTCACACCTGGATTTGGGTTTGTGACATGCTTCTTTGAGGCAGATGACACGGGTAAGGGTGTGCTGTGTGGCAGGTTGTCTTGCACGGACAGAAGGCCAAGGCCAACAGATGAGCATTTTCTCTGTTTCCTGCTGCATATCATGCAGAAAAGTTCCAGGCTGGGAGGGAGCAAAGGTTCAGGTGATTGGTTCTTGATACTCATTTCTCCACAAAGTAACCCTAAGGTTTGTGAAAGTGAGGCTTCCTAACTTTCCTAGATTTTGCTTCTATTATCCAGAAAGGCCAAGTAATTTTGAAACGTGGTCTCTGCTCAGGTCGCCTTTCAGCAGCCTGCGGTCAAAGAGAAAGGGTTTTCAGATTGGGTATTTATCACCTCTGAAAAGCAAGCCGTGGTTTTATTTGCCTGCCATGGATTAAATACATCTTCAGGTAACCATTTGCCTTACAGGTGTATTTTTATTGTTAGGATGATACTTAGCAATTGTCTGTGAACTGTTCTGTCTCTCATTTGTTGGTCTTTTTTTGCACTTTATTATGTACCTATCAAAAAATAGGTTAATTCTTAAATTATGTACTTGGCTAATGTCCTAAATGTGGGCATCTTATGTGGGTATTGTTGCCCATAAATAAATATATGTTCCCTAATCAGGTCCTTATATTTTTTCATTATGGTACATGAAGAAAATATATTATGTTACAAATGATGCGTTATATATATATCTTATAGAGTACATATTATATACTGTGTGTTATTCATTTAAGAAGTCATTATTCTTGAGGCCCTACCTCAAATTTTGTATTTATGTGTACAAATACAATTTATTGTATTATATATTTGCCTATTAAAGACTGATATAAATTAGAATTTATCCTAATATAATGTGTGAGTTCACAAAACCCTAAATAAATGTCAGTGTTTAAAACACAATGATTACCGATTTGCCTCTGTTACAAACACGTTACCTGCTATCTTTCTTTCCTAACACACGGCCTTCAGGTATCCCCAGGATTGATCTATTTTACTGTGAGAAACCTGGAACAGCCATGGAAAACAGCCCTCCTGGGGAAATGAGATATTGTGCTGCTGCAGAAACAAATATCAGTTAAATTGTTATATCCTTAACTATCAGAATGCACGATTGTGTGCTGAATTATTAGTTACCCCTCATAGAGAGAGACTGAGAGAGGGGAGTGAGAGAGAATCTGAGGAGGTCTGAGAGCTGAACAGATGGAGTGGGCAAGTTAAATCCTTGTGTGTGTTT